ATCAGGATTAGGGGCCCCTGGGTGGCTCCCTGAGGTAAGCATCTGACTTCAGCTCAAGTCATGATCTCACGGTTTGTGAGTTCAAGCCCCACTTCAGGCTCTCTACTTTCAGCCCGGAACCTGCTTCAGATTCTCTGTCTCCCTCTCTGTCTGCCCCTCCTCCACTCATTTTCTCTCTCTTTCTCTCAAAATAAATAAACATAAAAATTTTTTTAAAATTAAAATCAGGATTCATTTTACCACTCAAAGATGATCCCTGTCCACATTTTGGTGTATATTCTTGTAGATCACTTTTCCCCTTGGGTTTGTGCCAATATTCTCAAATATTTATTACCCTTTTTTGCATTTTCTTGTATGAATCTTTAATATCTTATGATTTTTCCCAGTTAACACATTAATATTTCTATAACTTATAATTAAGGCTTTGTAAGTTAAAGACATTACATTTTATCAATCAAATCTATTATTTTTTATATTCTGATTTTCTGCACAGCACATTGTATCATTAAGAGCCTTTTCAATTTATACTAAAATTATTGATCTACTCTTATTTCTCTTCTCTTATTTCTAGACTTTTTATTCAGAGAGAACTTCTATTTTCAAAGATTATATATTTTCATTATTAATTTATATTATCTATATTTTTTAATTATTATCTTCTCATAGCTTGCATGGTCTCTTGCTCCACACTTAACACTGAAGACTGAAATTTATTAGGGATAATAGGTGACTCTTGATCTCAGGGTCATGAGTTTGAGCCCCGCACTGAAATTTATTAGGGATAATAGGTGACTCTTGATCTCGAGGTCATGAGTTCAAACCCCACATTGAAATTTATTAGGGATAGTAGGTGACTCTTGATCTCAGGGTCATGAGTTCAAGCCTCACATTGAAATTTATTAGGGATAGTAGGTGAGTCTTGATCTTGAGGTCATGAGTTCAAACCCCACATTGAAATTTATTAGGGATAGGGGCGCCTGGGTGGCTTAGTCGGACGCTTAGGTCATGATCTCACGGTTCGTGGGTTTGAGCCCCGCGTCGGGGTCTGTGCTGACTGCCAGCTCAGAGCCTGGAGCCTATTTCAGAGTCTGTGTCTCCCTATCTCTCTGACCCTCCCCTGCTCGCTCTGTCTCTCTCTCTCTCTCCTAGAAATAAATAAAAATATTTTAAAAAATTTTAAAAAATGAAATTTATTAGGGATAGTAGATGACTCTTGATTTCAGGGTCATGAGTTTGAGCTTACTTTAGTTTTTCTATTTCAAGTTTTTATTTAAATTCTATTTAAATTCTAGTTAACATATATGGTAAAATTGGTTTCAGGTGTAGAATTTAGTGATTAACCACTTACATATAACACCCACTGGGTGTAGAGCTTACTTAAAAAAATAAATAAATATTAGAACCACAAAATTGTATGCTGGAAACTAATATTACACTGTATGTTAGCTGCCTGGAATTTAAATAAAAACTTTTTTAAAAGGAAATTTATTAGGGAATGTGAAGATCAGATTTAACATTAGTTTTTCTAAATTGTTAATCACTAAACCCTTATTATGCCTTCAGGGGTCCTCTAAGATATCTGGGAATTAAATTAAGTTGATAAAAATATTTTTCTATAACCTAAATTATAATGAACATCTTACTAAATTACAAAACTCCAAGATTATTCTTGGAAAGAATTCCCTTTTTAATTTTTTATTTATTTATTTTTTTTTTAATGCTTTATTTCTAGGAGAGAGAGAGACAGCGCGAGCAGGGGAGGGTCAGAGAGAGAGGGAGTCACAGACTGAGACAGGCTCCAGGCTCCGAGCTGGCAGTCAGCACAGAGCCCGATGCGAGGCTCAAACCCACGAATCGCGAGATCATGACCCAAGCGAAAGTCGGACGCTTAACCGACTAAGCCACCCAGGCGCCCCTCCCTTTTTAATTTTTAAAAAATGTTTATTTACTTTTGAGAGAGAAAGAGATGGAACACAAGTGAAGGAAGAGCAAAGAAAGAAGGAGACACAGAATCCGAAGCAGGCTCCAGGCTCTGAGCTGTCAGCTCAGAGCCCCACGTGGGACTCAACTCATGAACTGTGAGATCATGACCCAAGCCAAAGTTGGACACTTAACTGTCTGAGCCACCCAGGCACCCTCTTGGAAAGAATTCTTTGAAAGAAATGAAGAACAATGGGAATACCAACTCTTACCATAAATTTGATCAAGGTTGTGGAATTTCATACTAATGTAATAAGACCTAAAGATAAATAGGAGTTATAAATTAGTATTATTTGGAGAAAGTAGGTGAATGTTATAGAAAAACTTAAAATTTTTAATAAAATCCAGTGGCATCTGGGTGGCTCAGTTGGTTAAGCATCCGACTTCAGCTCAGTTTGTGGGTTCAAGCCCTATGTCAGGCTCTGTGCTGACAGCTCAGAGCCTGGAGCCTGCTTGGGATTCTGTGTCTCCCTCTCTCTCTGCCCTCCCCACCCCCCTCTCTCTCTCACACACACACACACACACACACACACACACACACTCACTCTCTCTCTCTCTCAAAAATAAATAAACGTTAAAAAATATTTTAATAGGGGCGCCTGGGTGGTTCAGCTGTTTGAGCGTCCGACTTCAGCTCAGGTCATGACCTCACAGTTCTTGAGTTTGAGCCCCGCATTGGGCTCTATGCTGACAGCTCAGAGCCTGGAGCTTGCTTCGGATTCTGTGTTCCTTCTTTCTCTGCCCGTCCCTCTCTGATGTGCTCTCTCTCTCTCTCTCTCAAAAACAAACATTAAACATTTTCTAAATTTTTAAGAAAATCCAGAAAATGCACATACTTTATAAATAAAAAAATCAAAAGCCTTCCTAATATAATAGCAGTACCAGAGATATAATTTGGGAGAATGTCATTGTTAATGCTATTAAACCCAACATCCATTGAAATACTCTGTAGAAATCATGCCATCTGCAACACCATGGATAAATCTGGAGGACATTATGCTAAGTGAAATAAGCCAGACACAGAAGTGTAAATGCTATATGATTCCTCTTATACAAGGTACCTAAAGTCATCAACGTCATAGAAGCAGAGAATAGAATGCTGGTTGCCGGTGCTGGAAGGAGAGGAAATAAGGAATTGTTGCTCAATGGGTATAAAATTTCTGTTATGCAAGATGAGTAATTTCTACAGACCTAGTGCATAACATAGTATGTATAGTTAATGAAACAGGATAGTACACTTTAAAATATGTTAGGAGGGGGACGCCTGGATGGCTCAGTTGGTTAAGCATCCAACTTTGGCTCAGGTCATGATCTCGTGGTTTGTGGGTTCAAGCCCCATGTTGGGCTCTGTGCTGACAGCTCGGAGCCTGGAGCCTGCTTCTGATTCTGTGTCTCCCTCTCTCTCTGTCCCTATCCAGCTTGTGTGCTCTCTCTCTCTCTCAAAAATAAATAAACAGTAAAGAATTTTAAACTAAAATATGTTAGGAGGATGCCATGATACCAGGCATGAATGATTATGTCCAAACTTATCAACATGTCTATATCAGAAATGGTAAATTTTCTGTAACCAACTATACTTTGATAAAGCTAAAAATAAAAGACTAAATACTACAGTATTTATAAAATCTAAGACACTATGGTCGACGGACCAATAAAGAAGATGTGGTATATACATGCAATGGGGGAATATTACTCAACCATTTAAAAGAATGTAATCCTGCCATTTGCAACAATGTGGATGGTTCTAGAGAGTATAATGCTAAGTAAAATAAGTCAGTCAGAGAAAGACAAATACCATATGATTTCACTCCTAAGTGGAATTTAAGAAATAAAACAAACAATCATAGCGGGGGGCGGGGGGCGGGAAGAGAACAGCAAACCAAGGAGCAGACTTTTAACTAAACAGAACACACTGATGGTTTAATAAAGGGAAGGTGGGGTGGGGATTAGGTGAAACAGGTAATGGGAATTGAAGAATGCACTTGTGGGGGGCCTGGGTGGCTCAGTCGGTTAAGCATCCGACTTCAGTTCAGGTCATGATCTCACAGTTCGTGGGTTCGAGCCCTGCGTCGGGGCTAGCTCAGAGCCTGGAGCTTGTCTTTGGATTCTGTGTCTCCCTCTTTTTCTGACCCTCCCCTGCTCACGGTGTTTCTATCTCTCTCTCAAAAATAAATAAAACATTTTTTTAAAAAAGAATGCACTTCTGATGAGAACTGAATAGTGTATAGAATTGTCAAATCACTATATTGTACACCTGAAACTAATGTAACATTGTATGTTTATTATACTGGAATTTAAAAAAATAATTTAAAAATGTTAAATCAATAACTAAGAAACTCTAGAACACTATATTTATAAATTTAATGTTGGTTGAATTTATATTTGGATATTGATAATACAAATGAATCATAAATGATGATTAATGAGAATAATATTGGTTATTATTTTTTTATTAGAAGGAGCACCCAAGGTCCAGAGGATCTAAGAGATAGAAATCACAGAAAGGCAGCACAATGCAAGAACCTCTTGAAGGTTGGATGACCTGCCTGGAGTTAGGGAATTCCCTATTCCCCCAAGCACCGAGCAGAGATTGCACCAGGGATGACTGCTGAGGGATGTGGGCAAGCACTAGAGCGGTGCTCCCCAAAATCGGGGCTGCATCAGACTGCCCAGGAGGACTTATCAAGGCGCAGAGTGCTGGCCTCACACCCAGAGCATCTGACTCAGTAGGGTCAGGTGGACCTGAAAATATGCATTTCTAACAGGTTCCCATGTGATGCTGAGGGTGCTGTGCCAGGACCACAGTTTGAGAACCACTGATCTTAGAGACAATCTTTCCAGGGGGCAGTGGGAACCACAATTTGTCAGCACAGAAAGCCAATCCTTAGCCAAAACAAATGACTTCATGGTTCCCCTGGGTTTGGATTAAGGGTATTTTGGTCATTCCGGGGAATGCTTATTTGGAGTGAATTTTGTGTTGCTTTTCCTTTTTTCTCTTTCTGGACAAAGCCAGTAGCCCCATGGAAAGAGGAAACCAAACAGGAGCTGGACACTTTCTCCTCCTGGGATTCACAGAGCAGCCAGGCCTGCAGCCTTTCTTCTTTGGGCTGTTTCTGTCCCTGTACCTGGTCACGTTCACTGGGAACCTGCTCATCATCCTGGCCATCATCTCAGACTCCCACCTCCACATGCCCATGTACTTCTTCCTTTCCAACCTGTCCTTTTCAGACATCTGCTTCACCTCTACCACCGTCCCGAAGATGCTGTGGAACATCCAGACTCAGAGCAAGGTCATAACATACGAAGGATGCCTCAGCCAGATTTTTTTTTTCATTGTGTTTGGATGCCTGGACAATTTACTCTTGACCGTAATGGCCTATGACCGCTTTGTGGCCATCTGCCACCCCCTGCACTACATGGTTATCATGAACCCCCAGCTCTGTAGGCTGCTGGCCCTGGGGTCCTGGTGCCTCAGTATCATGGGCTCCCTGCTCGAGACCTTGACCCTTTTGAGGCTGTCCTTCTGCACACACATGGAAATCCCACACTTCTTTTGTGATCTTCCTGAAGTCCTGAAGCTTGCCTGTTCTGACACCCTCATCAATAACATAGTGGTGTATCTTGTGACTGTTGTCCTAGGTGTTTTTCCTCTCTCTGGGATCCTCTTTTCTTATACTCAGATTTTCTCCTCCATCCTAAAAATTTCATCAGCCAGGGGCAAGTACAAAGCTTTTTCCACGTGTGGGTCTCACCTCTCGGTGGTCTCCTTGTTCTATGGGACAGGCCTTGGGGTCTACCTCAGTTCTGCAGCGACTTCATCCTCTAGGACAAGTCGGGTGGCCTCAGTGATGTATACGATTGTCACGCCCATGCTGAACCCCTTCATTTACAGTCTGAGAAACAGAGACATAAAGAGGGCCCTAGGGCAACTCCTTAGCAGACTGGTGCCTCTCAGTTTTGGGGGACCATAATGGGATTCTCATGAGTAACTGGTCACATGATCCCAAGGACCAGAAATCTTAGTTTCCTTTGTGCATTATTTTAAAATTGTTTTACTATGCCTTGTGGTTTATCTACACAATGGAATATTACATGCAATGAGAAAGAATGAAATCTGGCCATTTGTAGCAACGCGGATGGAACTCGAGGGTGTTATGCTGAGTGAAAGAAGTCAGGCAGAGAAGGACAGATACCATATGTTGAATAGGAGAAACTTAACAGAGGACCATGAGGGAGGAGAAGGGGAAAAAAATAGTTAAGGAGGGGGAGGGCGGCAAACCATAAGAGATTCTTAAATACTGAGAACAAATGGAGGGTTGATGGGGCGAGGGAGAAGGGAAGGGGGGTGATGGGCATGGAGGAGGGCACTTGTTGGGATGAGCACGGGGTGTTATATGGAAACCAACTTGACAATAAACTATAATAAATAAAATAAATAAATAAATCTAAAAAACTTTTTGATGTTTATTTTTGAGAGAGAGATGGAGTGTGCATGCATGCAACTGGGGGAGGGGCAGAGACAGGGGCAGAGGATCCCAAGGAGGCTCTGTGCTGACCACAGAGACCCCACACACAGGGCTTGAACACACAAACTGTGAGATCATGACCTGAGCCAAAGTCGGATGCTTAACCGACTGAGCCCTCCAGGCGCCCCCTCTGCGCAATATTTTTATTTTGCCTCATTTTATGTTTTAGAGCAAAACTTTCCTTGTTTCTTCCCTGCCCTCTATTTTTCTGCAGGTTATGTCCTGGATTCCTTTGTTCATCTTGCAACCAGTCGCTTTAACTTTACATGAAGAGAACCTACTATTTTCTCAGCTATCTTCAGTCATGGTCTGGATTTCTTGAAAAAAAAAAATCAAATCCCATGTGTTCAATATCTATCTTCAAAGTGATGGGAGACGTGTGCCTGTTTTGGAAATGTTGCCTGCAAACATTTGGAGAGCTGTTTTCTGAGGTTACGTAAATAGAATCCAGTCAAAGGCACACTTCCAAAACTAGGGGCCAATAAATGTCTGTTGTTTCGCCACCCAATCTGTGGCACTGTCATGGTGGCCCTAGCAAACTATTACACCTGCTCCCAAGAGGAGTTTTCTGCAGATAACAGACCACTGACCGGGGACTAGAGGCAGAAATTCCAGTTTGAGACTGGGCACCCAGGCAACGTTCCCCAGGATCAACTGTGGAGTAAGGCACTTTCTAAGCTTCTCGCCTTTGTATGGACTTTTTTGGTTTCTGACACAAATGTTACCATGGTGACTGCAAATAGATTAAAGAATTCTGGATCTCTACTTCCAAGTTTTCTCAAGTACACATGCCCAAGAGTTCTCTTTGGATCCTAGAGAATGGGGCAGGGTGCATCCCCAAAACATGCCTGTGCTTGAATGTTTCTTCCCCCTTTGAGAGACGTAGGGGCTCAAGTGAAGCTTAATTTGATTCAGGAAAAAAAGAATGTTGTATTTCCCAGACAAAAGGGTCATAGAGTTGAATGATGTCCACGACATCTGGAATCGTGTTACTGTCTTGTGTTTTCCCACAAGGTTTTATTAAAGTCTCATTTAATGTCCCACCCGGTTTATTCGGCTGCAGAAAAATAATGTTAAGTGACCAACATCCACCCTTGTGCACTAAGGAGACACAGAGCTTCCTGAGGCCAGCATGGGGGCGCCTGAGACAACTGATTTCAGGGGTCAGTTGTCTGGACTACAAGATACTTGGACTCCTCCCCACGAGAAGCTGCTTCCTCTCTTCCCAGCCATGGGCATATGAAGTAAAGAGTTAACTCAGAAGGCTTCAGGGAGCTCAAAGCCTGCACATTCCAGAGAAAGGACTTGCCCTTGACTGGCTCCTCAGAAATAACCCCTGAGCCCTTGGAATCCCCTGCCTCATAAAAGCATCTTTGTATATCTGGGACCTTGAGTCATGCCAGGTGGTCCAGGCTGACTGTGTCATTTATGGTGAATGCCTGTTGTTGTTCATCTGAGGCCCTGGGCAATGCTATATTCATTTGACTTCTGTGAGGACCAAAGAATGAGTAGTGAAGGTCAACAGGCACCGCATGCCTACACGATGGACCCCCAATAACAGTCCTGGACACCAAGGCTCAGGTGAACTTCCTTGGCCGACACGACTTCATAGGTGCTGTCACACATCACTGCTGAGAGGATTAAGTGAGTCCCTGGGATTCCACTAAGAGGGGACAATGGGAAGCCCATGTCTAGTGACTTCTGGACTCTGCCCCAGGCAACTCTGCCCTTTGCAGGTTTTCATCTGTAATCTTTCACTGCAATAAACTCTAAACATGCGCATCAGAGCTTTTCTGAGTTCTACAAGTCCTTCTAGCAAATCATGGAAACTTCAGGTCTTGGGGACCCCCGACACGGAGGCCATACACATTGTTTTATTATGATAAATAGTGGTTACCCCTCACCTCCTTCAATTCCACCACCCTTCAGCTTGTTGGACCCGAAGTTCACGGTCCTCCACAAGTTCTCTGCATGCGCCCAGAGAGAAATGGAGGCCTTGGACACCCTTTCGTTTCTGCTCCTGTATCTCAGTTCCCACCAAACAAGCTGGACGGAACATGTGTGTTCAGAGCACAGGCAATTGGGCAGTGGGTCTTCCCTAGGACCACCCCCTCCCCCAGCCCCCGTTCCCTCCTCTATGGGCAGCAGGGCTGGGGTCCCCTCACATGGCACTCTCGTTGCCTCCCCGGCCCCTGGACGCCCCCTTCTCTTGTGCCATGAGTGACTTGTAGGGCTTCCCCAGGCTAGGGAGGGTGAGCTCCGCTTCCTGCAGCTCCAGCTCCCGCTGAGATAAATGCTCAATGACGGCTGCTCCGATAGAGTCTCCCAGAACGTTGGTCATTGTGCGAAGTCGGTCACTGTTGGGGGGGGGCATGGAGAAGCCACTGTTATTCGAGGTCTGAAGAGCTCACGGAGGGGAGGGTGTAGCAGGGTGAGGAGGGTTCCTTGTGCCTGGGAGTTGGGGCTTGCGTCCTATCCACAACCACATAACCTCCGGCAGGTGCCTCCCCTTCCGTGTCCTCAGTTTCCCCTCCTAACAAACACAGGCTGCACCAGCTCTGACATGCTCACATTTGATCTTGGCAGTGCAATTCTTTCTTTTTAAGGATGTAAACATCTCACAGAGAAAATTAGAGGTCGGGGGCTGAACAGCATACAGAAGGGAACCACCGTAAGTAAATCAGGCCAGATTGGAGGCTGTCTAAATGGGACTCAGGTCCTGCAAACAGCTCCCAATGGGGATGAAAGTCCAGAGTTTTTTGTGTTTTTTTTTTTTTTTAATGTAAACCTCCTGTTTTTCAAAGTTGAGAATTCAAAATAAAACAAAACGAAAACCATTTGCAAGCCTGCTCTGTCCCATGGACCACCTTCTTGTGACTTCTACATAAAGTTGGTACAAGGGGGCTGTTCAGACTGAGAGCGAAAGCCCCCATTGCTCGTCTCCTCCCTGCCCGACTTCCCCAAGGTTATCTCTGGGATTTGGGAACTGCGAGCTACGGCTTGGAGTACGGTCCAAGGCTTCCCTTTACTCTAAAATTCTAGAGCTCTGTGTCCTTGTGGGAATGAGGGCCCACAGGTTGGGGGTCTGGCGGGGAAAGCAGGTGGAGTGGGGGGGTGAGGGGTGAGGAGAGACAGCACCAGGGTCTGAAGAGACTCACAGGAACCAGTCCACTGCTATGATCAGCGTGATGTCCTCAGTGGGTAGGCCCACGGATGTGAGCACAATGACCATGGTGACCAGGCCCGCCTGGGGGATCCCCGCAGCCCCAACGCTGGCTGCTGTCGCCGTGATGCTGCACATGGAGAGAGAACACAGGGAGGTGGGAGGAGGGAAGGGGAAGATGAGGAAGATGGTGAAAAAGGACACAACAGAAGGGAAGAGGCGGTTCCCCGGGACATCTTAAATTAAGCTCCTGAAAATGAAAAGCAGCCTTCAATAAACGTATTCTTTCAACTCATACTTAGTGAACGTATACGACAAGCTAGAGGCCCAGTAGAAACTCCCATAGAAGAAAACCCCTGCCCAAACAGAGCTCACATTCTAGGGGGGAGGCAGGCAATGAGCAAGGCGAGTACTTAAAATACATACTAAGGCAGATGGAGGTATGGAGAAATCATTCAGTCTACGGAAGTCCAGACCATACAATTTTAAATCGAATATTCAGGGAACACTTCCCCGAAAATGTGACTCTGGAGCAAAGACCTGAATGAGGCGATAATGTTTGCTGTTATATTTATAATTACCACCTTGGGACCTCTGGGGGACGAGGCCCAGGAATCCATCATAAGAGCCTCATGTTACCAGGATGCACCAGCCGTACTTTGGAAAATACTGGGCAAAGGGATGTCCCACAACAGCATGTGAAAGGAGATGGGACTGAACCATCTCACCAGCTCCTGACAACTTCAGTTGGCCTGGGAGACTGAGCTCACCCTACATCCCCCTGCCTCCAACATTCAAAGCCTCCCTTGACCTCAAGCTGAGGTGCCCTCCACCCCCAGCCAAGCTAACGACTTTTTTTTTTAATTTTCCAATGTTTATTTACTTTTGAGAGAGACAGAGTGTGAGAAGGAGGGGCAGAGACAGGGGGAGGCACAGAATCTGAAGCAGGCTCTAGGCTCTGAGCTGTCAGCACAGAGCCTGATGCGGGGCTTGAACCCACGCACCACGAGATCATGACATGAGCCAAAGTCGGATGCTTAACTGACTGAGCCACCCAGGCGCCCCCAAGCTAATGACTTCTGAGGCCTCACCTGCTGGCAGATCCCACCCAAGACCGCCTCACCTGATAGTGGTGATCTGGCCCAGGTTGAGCTCATAGTTGTTGACTTGGGCGATGAAGATGGCGGCCAGGGCCTCGTACAGGGCGGTCCCGTCCATGTTGACGGTGGCCCCCACAGGCAGCACGAACCTGGTGATGCGTCGGTCCACACCCAGGCCCTCCTCCAGGCAGCGGAAGGTGATGGGCAGCGTGGCAGAGCTAGGAGAGAGAGCCCTGGAGGCTGAGAACAGGGGGTGGCAGGGAGGGGCTGGGGCCGCAATGAGCCAAAGGAGAGATTCTGCTGGGAACGCTAAGAGACCACGTGGGAGCCGGAGCAAGGGAAGGATGGCAAGTGGATAACATTTCAGAGGCTGAAAACTGCACAGGGAAGAGGGATTCCTCATGTTAACAGAAGCACACAGCAATGGCGGCCCCCTAGGGTGAAGGGCTCTGGACCCGCTTAAAGCCAGTAGCTTAAGGCTGATTACCAGGCACATGTTTGTGCCACGAGTGAACTTTTTCCACTCCCAAAAAAGAGAAGATTAAGGGTCGGCTGACCTCCCACACCACATGCTCAAGATTGAGAAAGAGGTGTTACAGGGACCCCTAGGCCCCCACTCCTGCAGCTCAGGGGGCAACCTCAGCTACACTGACCCTCCTGGCCTCTCCCCCCACCGCTCCCCAGGGGAGAAAGAGGAACCTAATTGATTAGGGAGTTCAGTTGAAGGAATGCGCATCTCGCTTCGCTGTCCGCAAAACATGTGCTCCGCCTGGTCAGCTTGACGCCATGCAGTGAGAAACCAGGACCCACAGAAAAGGCCTTTGGGGATCCAGCCCCGTGATGACCAGGTTGAGTTTAATTCTGGGCTACGATGGCACCAATCCTATTGGCCACAGATCAAATCTCCAGGCAGCATTATGAGCAATAAAGATGATACCATTCTTCCAGCTGGTCGGCTCTTGTGATCCTTCTCAAACTATCTTGGATTTAGGTGATGGGGAAAAGGGAAGCTCTTTATTAATCCCCCCAAATCACAAGAGAAGCTGATGGAGGCCAAGAGGCTCCCAGACACCATCTTGGGGAGACACGAAACTCTCTAAACTAGAAATTGACTGAGAACATGGAGCACATTGGAAGCTTGGTCTTAACCCCCAAATGGGCAGCTAGTTCTCCTCCATATAAAACAGAGAAATGGACAAGGAGGAAAGGAGGTCAGGAGAGCGAGCCCGGGACAAAGATTAGCACTCAGGTGTCGACCGACCTGGAAACCTTCAGGAGCTGCTGACATTAGTGCACAGCTCAGACGGGGTTCAGTAGGGGGCGGAGAAGGGCAGGACCCCTAGGAGAGCATGTGAACAGTGAGCCTCGTAGAAGTACCAGGGGTGGGGGATGAGGCCGTACCTGGAAGACGTGCCCATGGCAGTGATGAGGGCCTGCAGCATGCCCCCGATGAAGGGGAAGGGGTTCCGGTGGGTGATGAGGAAGTAGATGAGGGGCAGGACACCACCAGCGTGGAGGAACAAGCCTACGATGACGGTCAGGGTGTACATGCCCAGCTGACCCCCCAGGACGGCCATGTCCTCCATCTCTAGGATCTTTCCAGCAATCAAGAACAGGATGCCCACAGGTGCGTACCTAGGCCAAGCCAGACACCCGTCAGAGCTCCCTCATGACTTCCCCTATAGCTCAGAGCTGGCATCCCCAAAGCCTTGCCCATATAAGCCCCTGGGGCCAGGTAGCGCCCACCATCCAGCCCCCTATTCCACCTCAACCTTTCCCCACACACTGGCCAACAGGGGTGGGCCCCACGGGCACAGCCCACTTCCTCTTCCCACTCACCCAGAACTCACGCCCACTACAGTGGGGAAAAGTTCCCACAACTCAACTCTAGGCGATACAACCCTATGAGGTCTCTCTTACCTCCATTCCCATTCAAGTCCGTCCCCAAAGAATCGCTGTCTTTGGGACTCTTTCCCTAGACATGGCCCAGACGGTCCCTATCACCGGCCTTTGGACTTCCCTTATTCACCACCTCCAACTATTTTTGGGTGAATTGTGTAACCTCTATGCCCCATTCCCTTTCCTGTAAGTGCGTATTCCCACCCACTCACCGGCCCTGAGCTATTTCACCAGAATTTCCACGGACATCTCAAACCACGTGTCTTTTTAAATCATCTACTTATTCAACCACTCTCTTGAGTACCTGCTCTGCTCCAGTCACAAGGTCCCTGCCCCTGTGGGACCCACATCTTGACAGGAAAATGAGCAGTACGCATAGAAACACCTAATTTAAAACTGCAGATGGTGACGGCCACCAAACAGAGCCCCTGAGAGAGGCTGCGTAAGCATGTGGGGTCAAGGAGGGGTGTCTTTAGACACCGACATTCATGCAGAGGCCTGAGCAATGGAAGGGGACAAATCCATCTGAGCGGGAAGCATTGCAGGCAGTGGAAAGATCCTGAGATTGGCATGAGCTTCAAGAGCCCAAGGAGTGGAGAGCACACCAGTGCGGCTGGAGCAGCGAGTGAAAGGAGACAGAAGTGAGTTCATCGGGGGCACACCTGTACCCCCCCTTACAAACCAGCACATCTCTTAGTCTCGCAAGTTCCTGCCTCTACTGCCTTCGTCACCCATCACCAGGGTTGTTACTCCTCTGTGTTGAGAAACTGAAGTTTGCAGCTGCTTGTTCTTCCGGAAGAGGCACTCGAGGGGGTAGGGACCTCCTGGGAAACTGGTACCATAGCTTGGGTCAGAAACGGGGGGACTCACACGGAGGCTCTGGGAAGGAGGATACTGGGCACTGGTCCAGCCACATGTGTATTCCCCTGGGCTCGGCTAAGCTCAGGGGGACTGATCGAAAACTCGAGGGTGCCGAGGTGTCTCCCAGCCTGAATCTACCTCTGTGTCTGCTCCATGAACGCCCTTCCCAATCTCCCCGTCTTCGTCCTTCCTCTTGGATCTCGCACAGAATACCTCACCTCTAGGTCAACTGCACAGGGCTTCTTACCTTGTACACTCAGCCACCCGGGACATTGAGATATTTGACCCAAACCTGCCAACGACACCACTTTAAATTTACGGCTTCCAATTCAGGGAAGCCTACAGTCTCATTGGTCTTCTTGGTCACCCTTGATAAGCTCACCCTTCGTGGCTTTTCCAGGCTTTAACCTTGGCCTCTAGCCCCTTACACAACTTTCTAGTTCTTGGGGATTATGTACAAAGTCTTCCCCAGTTTGGGACTAGACAGTCTTGTTAATATCTTTTTATTGTAAGTTTATTTCTTTATTTTTGAGAGAGGCAGAGAGAATGGGGGAGGGGCAGAGAGAGAGGGAGAATAAGCCCAAGCAGGCTCCACACTGTCAGCACAGAGCCCGATACAGGGCTCAGACCCACGAATTGTGGGATCATGACTTGAGCCGAAGTCAAGAGTTGGACGCTCAAGTCACTGAGCCGGCCAGGTGCCCCGGTCTTGTTAACATCTTGCACAGCCACTCCCACCTCACCCTGGGCTCCCACCTCTCTGAACTCCCCACCATTCTCTTGCAGGCTTTGCTTGTTCTCTTCCCTCTGCTTGAAGGGCCTCTTCCCTCTCTCTGTCCTGTTGAATTCCCACCTACCTTTCAAGACCCAACTAAGAGGTGACCTTTTCTATGACTCCCTCCTCACCTTCCCAAACAGAGTCCACTACCTATCCGTCCATTGGCTGCTCACTTCTCCACCTTCCCCAACGCTTTTTAAACATCCCTTTACTGTAGGACCTTCCAGCGTGAATCACATTTATCTAGTACGTGGCTATCTCGTCCAAGACTTCACGACTGAATTCAATGGATCTCCGTATTCCAGAGTTCAAGATTGAATTAGCCTGGGAAAATGTCTGCTGAATGAATGAAGGAATTGGTGAAGGAATGGAGACATGTAAAGGATGAATGAATGTGTGCATGTATCGATTAAGGAATAATTAGCAAGTGGATAAAGGAGTAAGAAAATAAGCAAATGAGGGGCGCCTGGGTGGCTTAGTTGGTTAAGCATCCGACTTTCGCTTAGGTCATGATCTCGCGGTTCGTGGGTTTGAGCCCCGCGTCGGGCTCTGTGCTGACTGCCAGCTCAGAGCCTGGAGCCTGTTTCAGCCTGTGACTCCCTCTCTCTCTGACCCTCCCCTGCTCACGCTGTCTCTCTCTCTCTCTCTCCTAGAAATAAATAAAACATTTAAAAAAAAAAAGAAAAGAAGCAAATGAGACACAAACGAAGGGGTGAGTGAATGAATGAGGGCATTACGTGAACAGATGAACGAATGCAGGGTTTACTTGAACGAGTCAATGCGAGGATACAAATGCAGAGATGAATGAGCAGGCCAAAGAATGAGCTCAAACAAATACATAGTGGAGCGAGTCAATAAATAAATGAATCAGCCAATGGTTTCATTAATGTGTGGATGAGTCCACGAGTGAATTTACGAGTGAACATATGAATAAATTCCCCAATACCTATATGAATGATTTTGGCCAAATGGCCCCAATGGCCCCTTGAGGAACGGCCCCACAACCTGACTTCCCAGCCCCAGCTCCACCCTTCCTGCATGCTGTCACCTGCTCACGCTGTCACACCCCAGCACTCACCAGATAATGATGCCCACCATCCTCATAATAGCCTCATTGAGGCTGTCGAAGAAATCCCGGAGGACTCGGCCCTTGTGTTTCATGCCACCGATGACCAGCCCAAAGGCCACAGAGAAGACCACAAGGCCCAGGGCATTGATGCCATTGGCTGAGCCAGGTACAGGCACAGTCTCCTCGAAGCTCAGCACTTCCTGCAGGGTGCCCAAAGCCCATGTGACATTTTCCAGGAGGCTGGTTCCGTTGTCCATCGAGGATGGGGGAGGCATGGAGGTGCCCGGCTCAGATCCATTCTCTGTCCTCACTATGGTCCTGGTTACCAACCTCGTACTGTACTGCGTCTTGAACTGAAACATGGAGAGATGGGGGCCAAAATTGATTCATCAGAACCTCCTGGAGAAATTTACTGAGAACACCAGTTCCTGGTTGCCACACCCTGGAGAGTCTTATTCAGTGGATCCGAGTGAGTAAATGAATTACTTGACCAATGCATAGAAGACCGAAAGAGCACAAGAATGGAAAAATGAACAACCAATGCATAGATTCTGCATTTTTCAAAGCTCCCCAGTCAAACCATTCAGGGGGCCTCTCTCCTCAACCATGTATGGTGAGACACATTGGCTCCTCCTCCAGAACCATCCCCAGGCAGCTCTTGGCCTAAGTCCTTTTCCATAAGCCTCCCTTGATCATCCCACCAATGGGAGGTACATTCTTTCTCCCAGACTCTTCCAAAAGGCCCTGCTCATTGCTCTGTTAGGCCCTTCTTCCCATCCCTCACTCCGGAACCATTCACTCGGCAGCAAGCACCCCGCCCCCACCCCCCACCAACCACTCCGACCCTCCAAACCTCCTTGAACAAACTGTGTACTTCCCCCTGACCTGTTTGAAGCAGGCCTCCACAAGGTTGGGCGGAAACATATTTCTGCAGAAAAACAGCAGAGGAAGGGAGGTGGTTAGACCTTGGGAAGGAGCCTAGGGTAATAATAGTAAGAGTAACAGCAACAATAATAATGGCAGCCAACATGTGAATGCTTACTCTAGGCCAAGTGCTGAGCTAAGTGCCTTACCTACATGATCTACACACTACAATAATGCTAGAAGTGAGCACTAGTGATGTCCCCATTTTATGCACAAAGAAACCAAATCACAGAGAATTTATGGAAGTTGCCCAAAGCCACACAGCTCCTCAGAGGTGCAGATGGACCTCAAATCCAGGTCTCTCCGAGCCCTTCAGTGGGGAGGAGAAATTCCCTACTGAGCCACCTTGGGGATTTCAATTCATACACATGTGCCAGTGATGCCTCAAGAAACACAGAAAACTTGTGGAATTCCCCCAAGTCCGTGACCAGAGGAGAACCATGGTGAGCCTTGAATCTGGCTGTCAAAAGCTTGCTTCTCTAAGAGAATCAATCATCCTCCAATGGAGCTTGGGAACCCCAGGCACCAGCTATCCTGAGCCTGTCTCAACGTGCAGCTATAGCCTCCCGAGCTAAGGGCAAAAAGGTCATACCCTAGGAGTCACCTACTCTCAGAGCATTTGTGCAAGACTCCAGGGCAGAGAGCAGGTACCAATAGTCTAGGTTCAACTTGGGTGTTGCATTTCCAGGCTGACTCAGCCTGTCCCCCATGCCCCTCCTTGAGTACGGTTTGTTGCCTCTAGGGCTAGAGTTCCCATCAAAATTAGAAAAGACGTCACCTGACCAGGTCCATGAAGGCATCTGCTGTGGGGATGGTCTCAATGCGGCCCTCACGGTGCAGCCCCTCCTTGGAGCCCTTCCCAGGATGGATGATGGTGACCATGAGGATGCCAATGAAGACAGCAATGACCGTGGTCACCATGTAGTACACAGCTGCTCGCATCCCCATCCGGCCTGTTGCCTTGTTATCCAGGGACGCCATACCTGGAGGACAGGGGGGACAGCCCTTAGCAGCCCCATCAGCACCCCACCACCCACTCGCCCATCCATCAGCTCATCTTTCCTCATACCACCAGCTCAACAAGCATCCCACCAGACTTCTCCTCCTTCTGCGCCCCCAGCCCAGCACCCACACCACCATGTTTCGACCCACTCATCCTTCTTCAACCCCATTCCATTTTCCATGTACACCTTCCACCCCATCCTTTATCCCAAGCACCACATCACCAACCTTCCCTTTTCAACCCCCACCCCGTCCTCCGTTTGTCCCTATGTTGTACCATGACTTCACTGTCATTCCACTCATCATCCTGCTATGGACCCCAAGATTATACTTCCCTCCAGCTCACCTCACTGTACACTACCTGCAAGAGATACTTCTTTTGGTGCCCCATCCAAATGCCCTTTACCGGCCTAATGCACCTGTCGTCCTTCAGCTGCTGCGTGTGTGAGCTGCTCACAGTGTGTGCTGCCCCCTTCTCTTGAGAGCTGCTCTCAGCAGAACAAAAGCTGCCTTGCCCAGAAACACCCCATGGAAGGTCTAAAGCCAAAGACGGCCTGGAACTGGGATTCAAAAAGCCAGTTCCTTTGACTCAGGTGGGGGCAGAATTGAGAAGAACAATTCTTAGCATTACTCTTGTTCCACAGCTACTCGTGGGATAAGGCTGAGAGGCCAACCTTCTTCTGAACCCATATCTCTGCCTAGGTTCTTTCCCTGTCCCGTCTTGCTTCCCTCATTCACTCATGGGTCTCTCTTGAATGCCATCTCTCAATCAGTGGCTTGTGCAAATATCCCCATCTTAGGCTCTGCTTCCGGGAAACTCAACCCAAGAAACCATTCTTTCATGCCTCCATCTTCATCCTGATCAAGTCTGGAGGTTGGCAATCAACCACCTGAGTTTGTTTTTGCAAATAAAGTTTTATTGGAACACAACCATGCCCATTTGATTATATTTGAGTGTGCAGCTGCTCCCTTAACACAACTGAGTAGTTGTGACAGAGATCGTATGCCCCCCAGTGCTGAAAATGTTCACTCTCTGGCCCTTTGCAGAAAAATGTGCCGACCTCTGCATAACCCATCCATATTTCTACCCCAGCCCCCACCCACCATCCCGTCCCCTCCATCTCAAACACCTTTACCCACATCCCACTCCTTGACCATCCATGCCATGCTACCTTCCCTGGCTGCCCCCCTGAATGATGCTGAGCCCCTGGCAGGCTGGTGTTTTACCTCCATGGAAAAGTAGAGTAAAGTTACTGAGATAAGTGGCATAGGTCATATTGGGTCTGGAATCTGAGTCTGATGAAGATCTGGGCTTTGGCCAAGAAGTGGGGGCTAGACGCAGGCTTTGTGTTCAAGGTCCTGAGGTAGGGAGGTGAACTCATGCTTGGGGATGGCTTTGGCTCCAGGTTTGAGCCGGGGCTACGGGATGGGTCTTGGGAGCCCACACTGGCCTGGGCTCTCTCTCACCTGTGACCAGGCTGGAGACAATGAGCGGCAGCACCAACATCTGCAGCATCCTCATGAGAAGCTCTCCAGGGAAAGAGAAGTACTTGATCTGTCTGTAGGTCAGCTGGTACGGGCGCAGGGCAAAGGCCAGGCTGACCCCTAGGACCAAAAGAGAGGTGCTGTGGAGTGGTTTGGGTCACTGCACCCCATCTGCGCTAAAGTGCCCTTCTGGGGGGACGCAGCGGGTGGCGGGGATGCACGCAGGGGAGAGCCAGTCGGCGGAGCGAAGATGTGTGCGGGCAGGAGATTTCCCCGGGGTCCCCGCCCCTCCCAGCCCGCTCACCGATGACCACCGCGTTGACCGTCAGCAGGATGAAGGCGTTCCGGCGCAGGAAGCGCAGCACGTGCTCACGGGTCATGGTCTGCAGGCGCAGGCGCGTGCGCAGCGCCCTCTGCTGCAGGCTCTCTTGCAGCCGCTGCAGCCAGCCCACCCGGCCCAGCCGCTGGCCACTCTCCCGCAAGAACAGGCTGTTCCCGTGGCTGCTCATCGTCTCTCTGCGGGGGACACAGGGGTCTTGCGGTGAGGGACAGGGGAAAGGGCCGAAAGAGCTGGCGAGGAACTCAGAGAGAATCCAGACACCGGGGGAGAGGCAATGTCCACCCATTGGGAGGTGCCCATCCTGAGACTCCTGAGAACACTGCCTGGGGTTCAAGGGTTACGTCCAGGGAGAAAGAGGTCAAGATCTCCAGAATTGCTCCCGGACTTGGCTGGGGAGAGGCAGGATGGGAGACCACAGTATATAGGATGTTTCTGCCATTCCCTGGCTCCAGAACACTCCTTATTTCACACCATCGCGAGGAACTGGGCGCTGTCCCAGCCCACAAACCAAACTAGGAAGCCTTTGCTGAGCGCCAACTGCATGCAGAGCCCTGGACAAGGCACCCTGGAGCTAGCCCCCCAGATAAATGTGGTTTGGTGTCTGGCCTGGAGGTGCTGACATTGGACCTTCCACAACGGCATAATTATCAGGAACTTGGCAAAAGTGAGCCCAATAAATTCAGCTGCCTTGCATGAGAGCTCAGGTGAACAAAGGAGCTGGAGGTGGGGTTCCTCAGGGAGGTAATGGTGACCTTGACCCCAGTGGCTCTGCCAGATCCATCTTTGAAGGGGACTGTGATGTTCAGAGTTCTCTCTAGGATGCCAGGCACTACTTCCAAAACCACAAGTTTAGGGGCATCTGGGTGGCTCAGTGGGTTAAGCGTCCGACTTCGGCTCAGGTCATGATCTCACAGTTTGTGAGTTGGAGCCCCACGTCGGGCTCTGTGCTGACAGCTCAGAGCCTGGCACCTGCTTCAGGTTCTGTGTCTCCCTCTCTCTCTGCCCCTCCCTCATTTGTGCTCTGCCTCTCTCTGTCTCTCAAAAATAAATAAATGTAAAAAAAAAAAAAAAAAAAAAACACCTCAAAACCAGACATTTATGTCTCCTTTGTATATGACCATATCCCTGTAACCTTACTTATTTAAATAAATATATCTCAGTGGAAACTTTAGATCATCACTTCAAATACAAATTATATTTGAACACACATTAAATGAAATGCATATAAAAATAAGAGCCTGTCTATCCTCTTACCAACTAAATACCTTACAAGTATAAGCAGCTTGGAAATGTGACTTTCATGGGCCAGGAGAACTTTTGCTTTCGTGGACTTCTTCCTCCATTAAAAAAAAGTACAATATTGGGGCGCCTGGGTGGCTTAGTCGGTTAAGCGTCCGACTTTCACTTAGGTCATGACGTGGGTTCGAGCCCCGCATCAGGCTCTGTGCTGACTGCCAGCTCAGAGCCTGGAGCCTGTTTCAGTCTGTGACTCCCTCTCTCTCTGACCCTCCCCTGCTCACGCTGTCTCTCTCTCTCTCTCCTAGAAATAAATAAAACATTTAAAAAAAAAAAGTACAATATTAAATTGTATTTTACAACTGAATTGTTATAAAGATGAATATAGTGTTTTGGAACTAGATAAGGTTGATGATGGTTGAACACTAAGAATGTACTAGATGCCACTGATGCCACTTTAAAATGGTTGGGTTTCTGTTATGTGAATTTCACCTAACATCATACATTAAAACATTTTCTTTTATTAAGTGTAGTTCTTGGGGCGCCCTGGTGGCTCAGTCAGTTAGGCATCTGACTTCAAGCTCAGATCATGATCTCACAGTCTGTGGGTTCGAGCCCCGCGTCAGGCTCTGAGCTGACAGCTGGGAGCCTGGAGCCTGCTTCAGGTTGTGTCTCTCTTTCTCTCTCTGCCCCTCCCTTGCTCTTGCTCTCTCTCTCTTTCTCTCTCAAAAATAAATAAAACATTTTTAAATAAAAAAATAAAGGGGCACCTGGGTGGCTTAGTCGGTCAAGAGTCCGACTTTCGCTTAGGTCATGATCTCGCAGTTCGTGGGTTCGAGCCCTGCATCAGGCTCTGTGCTGACTGCCGGCTCAGAGCCTGGAGCCTCTTTCAGTCTGTGACTCCCTCTCTCTCTGACCCTCCCCTGCTCACGCTGTCTCCTCTCTCCTCTAGAAATAAATAAAACATTTAAAAAAAATTAAAAAGATAAAAATAAAAGAGTAGTTCTTTCTTCTGATTTTAAAAGAAGTGAAAACATTTCTATGGGTCTTATAAGTATCATGGGTCCTGAGTGATAGGCAGCCTGGCCTACAATTGATCTCACAAAAAAAAAAAAAAGTGGCAGTGCCCATATTCCAGACATCCTGGGAACTCTGTTGTCCCTCTAGATTCATTCCAGGGCAAAAGGCTGATCACCAGGGATGGCATTGCTCAGTCTCTCATGGCTGCTGGCTCCTGTTTCGGTCTGGCCAGTGGGAAGTAGCAGGAGAATGGCTGGTGGAGGAGCCTTTATTCTCCCTACCCCACCCCTGACATGTCCCTGTGGGCAGTGGCTGCGTTCCTCTGCCTCAGGCCTCAGCTCCCATCAGACAATCCTTCATGCCTGTTGGCGATTTGGATGCCTTCTCTGAAAAAAAAAAATATGCCTGTTTAGTTCCTCTGTCCATTTTTTAATCAGACTGCTTTTGTCGCTGCTGTTATTGTTGAGTTGTATGAGCTCTTTATATATTTAGGATATCAGCCCCTTATCTGATACATGGTTTACAAAAAAATGTCTCCCGTTCTGTAGGCTGTCTTTTCCTTCTGTTTCTTTGGCTGTGCAGAAGGTTTTTCATTTGATGTAGTCCCATTCGTGTATTTTTGCTTCTGTTCATGCTTTTGGTGTTATATCCAGAAAAATCATTGCCAAGACCAATGTCAAGGACCTTCTTCCCTCCCTTGTCTTCCAGGAGTTTTATGGTATCAGGTCTCATGTTTAAGTCTTGAGTCCATTTCAAGTTATTTTTCTGAGTAGTATAAGAATGAGGTCCAACTTCATTTTTCTATATGTGTTTATCGAGTTTCCCCAACGCCTGTTGAAGAGACTACCCTTTCCCCATTGGGTGTTCTTGGCTCCCTAGATGTGAGAGAGGTGCTGTTGCTAATGACAATCATATTACAAGATATAAATACATCAAAACAACATGGTACCCACCTTATACTCATACAATGTTACACATCAAATATGTTTCAAGTAAAAAAGAAACACGATCTTTTGTTACAGCCAAGGCTCCTGTCCTTTTTTTTTTTTTTTAATTTTTTAAAAATTTTTTTACTTATTTCTAGGACAGAGACAGACAGCGTGAGCAGGGGAGGGTCAGAGAGAGAGGGAGTCTCAGACTGAAACAGGCTCCAGGCTCTGAGCTGGCAGTCAGCACAGAGCCCGACGCGGGGCTCGAACCCACGAACCGCGAGATCATGACCTAAGCGAAAGTCGGACGCTTAACCGACTAAGCCACCCAGGCGCCCCTCAAGGCTCCTGTCCTGCTACGCCCCTACCTCCCTCCTGGTCCCTCCTGTCCCCCACTCTTGCTGGTCCCTGACTGCTACTACACCAACCTTACTGGTCTCCCTTGACTTTGCTCATATCTCTGTAAACACTCCTTAAACTCTTTCCAGTCCTGCTTTTTGAGGGTGCCGTGTCCTGACAAATACCCCAGATTTACCTGGACCTTAGAAAAAAAATCTCCACGGGGCACCTGGGAGGCTCAGTCAGTTAAGAGTCCAACTCTTCAGGGGCGCCTAGGTGGCTCATTCGGTTAAGCATTCAACTTTGTCTCAGGTCATGATCTCCCGGTTCGTGAGTTTGAGCCCCGTGTTGAGCCCTGTGCCGACAGCTCAGAGCCTGGAGCCTGCTTCAGATTCTGCGTCTCCCTCTCTCTGCCCCTCCCCTGCTTGCACTCTGTCTCTCTCTCAAAAATAAATAAACATTAATTAAAAAAAACAGGGTCCAACCTTTCATTTCAGCTCAGGGTCATGATCTCACGGTTCATGGGATGGAGCCCCATGTCAGTGCTCTGTGCTAATACCGAGGGGCCTACTGGCGATTCTTTCTCCCTGTCTCTGCCCCTCCTGGGCTCATAAACACACACACACACACACACACACTGTCTCTCTCTCTCTCTCTCTCTGTCTCAAACGTGAAAGGAAGGAAGGAAGGAAGGAAGGAAGGAAGGAAGGAAGGAAGGAAGGAAGGAAGGAAAGAAAGAAAGAAAGAAAGAAAGAAAGAAAGAAAGAAAGAAAGAAAGAAAGAAAGAAAGAAAGAGAGAAAGGAACTCTCCAAGCCAAAGGAAGACAGTCAATATTGTTCCTGTGCTGAACTCTGCATATTTGGTTGCCCACTGCACCTGCCACTCTCTGAGGGGTTGCGGCTTCCAATCCCTCCCCCTGCCTGCCCCCCAGCCTCAGTGCCTAAAGCCACCCAGGAGGGGCTGGGAGTCTGTCAGAGACTCCTCTAGAACGCAGACCCCTGGGGTTTTGGGGAGGGGGGGTGTTTGCTGCCACTAGCTATGCAGCTTCTTTTCTGGGGTTACTGTCTTCCTTGTCCTCCCCTGACCCCCGCCATATCCAAAGGAGGAGACAACGGCCTCAACTTTCCCGGCCCTGCTTCCTCAAGGTCCAAGTTCCCATGCTCAATGCCAGATCAGAGTCAGGCTCCTGCTGCAAATGGGTCCATCACTTTGAAACCACAGTGCTGTTTCTCACCTTGCTGTGAAATCCCAGACATGGGACCACAGACTACACAGGAAACCCTTAATTCCTCTCTCTCCCTCTCTCTCTCTCACGTGTATGTTTCCCATCACCAAGCAGTAGTGGGAAACTGTCCGTTGGTCCCGAGGGAGTGCTCTGCTGAGATCCGAACCAGCCACAGAACCTCCCGACCGAGTTTTGCCCCTTTCCTTTCTCTTCTTTACAAGAAGTAGCGCAGCATAAAGCAGGGATGGACAAACCACCGTCTGAGGGCCACATCCGGCCCGCTGCTTGTATCTGTAAATAGCTTTATTGGCACAGAGAGCCACGTTCATTCCTGACGTATTGTCTACGGCCTGGAATGGGGGTGTTGGGGGACAGGCATCGTATGGGCCGCAATGCAATCTCTCTGGCCCTTTACGGAC